CTGGGATTTGGGGTTTTTTTCCCTTAAAGGGCCGGAGCTAGGGTGGGTGGGGGAGCCATGGGGTGGGGGGAGGGCTGGGAGAACAGGCAGAGGTTGGGGGGCTCATGACAGAGCCCCCAGGCAGTGGGGGGCAGCAGGGATCACCCCCCCATTGGGCATCAGCCGGTGAGTGGGGGGCTTTATTTTAAAGCACCTGAAGCTGGACCAGGCAGGGCAGCCATTGGGGGGTTGGGGGAACAGATAGGGGTTGGGAGGGCTGGGGGAGTAGGCAGGGGATGGGGCCTGGCAGGGGTCCCCCCATGGTCCCCTTGACCCTCCTCCAGTCCCCTCTCCCCCACCCTCCTGCTGCATTTGGTGGGGACTGCCCAAATCACTGAAGCTCTCCGAATCTTTTCCAGATCAATTCGGAGAGCTTTGAATCAATTCAGACCTTTTAATTGGTTCCCCGATTCAATTTGGATTCAGAGATTTGGCCACCGAATCGGGCCAAGTCTCCTCTGAATCAAATCAGCACCCAAAGCTTCGCACAGCCCTACCATTCACGTAGAGTGGTGGGTCTGGCAGTCGAGAAGCCAGAAAGGCTGGTAACCTTTTGCATTCTACAAGTAAAACTAAGGTACAAGTTAGATAACAAAAACTATCTCGGAGTTCTGAAGTTTAGAAGGACGTGGTCGTGGTCTAGAGCAATCAGTTCTATTCACTTATTGAAGAAAATACTCCAGTTTTGCATTAAACATTTTGATAACAACCTTACATAGAAAAAAGATCTGGTGCAATTAATATCCTCTTATAATGATTTTACAGCACTGGCTTTGTATATTTAATTGACTCCTAGGTCTGCCCAAGTGTTCGTTAACTCAAATTAGGAGTTAAAAATGCATGTTTAACTGTATGGTTATTTATAACTATGTATAGGTAGCACATGTCCTCCTGAATAGTACAAAATAGGTTTGTGCGAGTATTGTATTTAATTGAAAATCAACGTGTTTAGTGGTTACCAACTATTGAGAATTTCTTCAGGAAAATAACTAAAGAGGGACTAAATGAAAGATACAGTTATTAAACATAATTAAAATAAACGTTTTCCTAGGCCCCTTTTACACAGTTTGAGAGACAGAGCCCTCACACTCCTGGTCTTCCTCATGGAAACTGTTTTCTGTCCTCAGTTCCTTCAATGGCATGTGGCGTTGCCCTCGGGATGTCTCAACTGTCATGTGCATCCATGAGCCTACCTGCGAGCCCCCAGACTGCAACAGCCACGGGCACTGCGTACTGGGAGAGTGCCAGTGCATTGGAAACTTCTGGAGAGGACCTAACTGCAGCCTCTTGGACTGCGGCCCTTCCAACTGCAGCCTGCATGGCATCTGTACTGAGTGTAAGCTATCATTGCTCAGGCAAATCATCATAGCTGATGGGCATATTGTAATGTGTTACACTAGTATTTTGTCATAAGGAAGGTAGGGGTAGCTGTTTTAGGCATTCTTTCTGATGATACTGGCCTGGTCATTGGGATAGAAGAATAATAAGTAGAGACCTACTCAGATCATGATTTTGCTGAAACCGTGAAAAACAGCATTGTCCGCAATTGCCAGGTAAACCAGCATTGGCCACAATTTCCTGCGAAGTCAACATCAACAGCAAAAAGCAGTAGTGATACAGATTTAGTGAAGGCGCCCTCTGCCAATCAGGAGCAAGCAGCGGGGCAAAAAAAGCAGTAGTGCCAAACCTGAGTGAAGGCACCCTCCACCAATCAAGCAACAAGGTGCAGGACTACCAGGAAGGGCATCATATTGTACAAGCCTCAGCTCCAAACCAACACCCATTTCCATGAACCACTCCTGCCTCAATGAAACACCTGAGCAGAGCCTTGCTGGTTAAGAGTCACCAGAATCTCAGTGGTTAAAAGCCCACAACTTCCCAGTGAGCTCTATTCTTTTTGTCATCAGGCAGTCTAATAGTACATGTACATTGTGGTCCTTTCCAAACTATAGTCAAGGGCATGACTGCATGCAAGTAACCTCTCCAGCTCTTCACTTCACAATCTTTTCCCAAAGAAAGTTGCTTCTCAGCTCCTAGGAGCCAACCTTTTTTATAGTATCTGCCACAAATGAGCTCAGCTGGTTTACTTCCCGTCTCTGGTGGGTGGGTGCAGGCTGTGTGGGTTGACACTTGCCTTGCCTTCTGGGCTCATGGAATTTGTTCATCCCTCTAAGAGGCAGTAGTAAAGAGAAGGTTAAAACAGCCTACCTTCAAAAAGAAGAAGCATAGCCCAGTGCATGGGTCTCAGCAGACCTGGATCCTGGCTGTGCCCCAGACTGGCTGGAAGGTCAGTATGCCAGTTTCCCCCTGAGGATCATGATACTGACTTCCTTAGCAAAGGGTTTTCAGATCTGATGAAAAAAGCACTGTGTAACAGGGAGGTTTAATGAATTGTCCTGGATTCAGGTGCTGAGTTACCTTACCTTGCACCTATGCGCTCTCCCTTCTTGCCTGGGCAGCTTCATTGGCTGTGATCATTGCAAGCTAACATAGATTGGCTGTGATCACTGCAAGAGAAGTAGGGGGTAGACTTTCTTTCTTGTTAGTTCAGAATCATTCTCTTAACACGCTGGAATGGGCAGCACTCAGGAGGTGTCACTTCTGGAAGATATGTGCGATGGAAGTGGTTTTCTGGTTGACAGTTTGAGGACCACTGTCCTGCAAGAGTTTGCATCTGAGAGGCTTCTGGGTTCTGGATTCCCTTGGGTTTGTATCCTGGGGAAGGCCCTTTGGTTGCGTGTGCCCCACCCAGGGTGATCTCAAATGAAAGCATGTTAGAGCTTACAACCAGTGCTGGCTTCTTAACCTCAAGCTACCCCTAGTGCCTCAGTCTGTTTGTAATGCCTGATTTGTGGTTCTTTCTCATGCAGCTGGATGCCTGTGTGATGCTGGCTGGATAGGCAGCAACTGCAGTGAAGGTAATTCCTGCCTGTTATCACAGTCTTGTTCTTAACAGCTAGTGAGGGGACTGCGTGATATGCTATGGGAGTAAGCTGCCTGCCTGAGGCTGCAGCTGTGTGGAAAGGGAGTATGCTTATTGTGAATAGATCCCCAAACCCACGAGGACAGTGATGGGGAGGCAGAAGACAAGTACAGACGCCTGTCCAGACGTCTCACCTACTCCTTTTCAGTGACAAGTGGAGGCATAAAAGGCAAAGCCAAACCCCTCTCTCTTCCTCTCCCCTGGCATCCTCTGCTCCCCCACTGAAACCCTGGCAAGACAAGGTATGCTTCCTAGCACAGGGCACTAGCCCAGTTTTTTTCCTCTTTGCAAGGCCCTCAGCAGCAGCCTGGCTTACCTGGGCTGCTGCTGCGTTGTGAGTCAGTAATTCTTGGCCAGTTAGGGGAGGTACCTCTCTGCATTCTTGCAGAGTAAATTTAAGCAACCAGCAATAAAACCGTGATGTGTCCGCACTTCTCTCTGCAGCTTGTGCTAGTGGCTTCTACGGGGATGGCTGTGCCCAGAGGTGCCTCTGTCATAATGGCGGAGAGTGTGACCCAGTGCACGGATCCTGTACCTGCCCAGCAGGCTACCACGGAGCCCTCTGTGAGCAAGGTGAAGTCTGCGATGAACAGGAGCATGTAGCATCTGAGGGGCTTTATATATCCTGTGCTGGGACGCTTTTCTCAGCCAAAAGGGGATGTGCCCTTTGACCTTCAGAGCTCAGTCTGGCCACATGTAGACTCAGAGCCAGGTGCGTGCAGGCCTACACAGTGCTGTTTAAAACACGGGACAGTTTTCCTCTTTTGCTGGATAGATGGCTCTTGTTCTTTGTGTTCTCCTTTCCCACAAAACTTGCTCTTAGACAAATGGGCCAAATTTCAGCCTGTAGGTGCTAACTCTGCCAAAGCTGTAAGCCTTGACAGAGTTAGATACCTATGGCAGTAATACATGCACAACCTTAACTTCAGGACCTGCTCTGTGCTCTGTCTATGGTACAGCCCTGGCTGCAGCAGATGACCACTAAGCAGCTTCCATGAAGCCTTGCTTTCTCTCCCTTCAGTACTTCCATGGCATCTAGCTTTGATAGACGTAATTTGATATTACATTGTATAACACTACTGCTATTGTGAGTCTTATTGAACTCTGTCTAAATATGCTGCCACAGCAAGTTCCACACTGGGTTTAGGGTTTTTTGGGGTAGTTTAGTATTGTTTTGTTACAGGAATGCTAAACAGATCTGATCTCTCTTGTCTTTATAGTGAACTCTAAACTGCTTTGTCAAGGCTGCGAGAGAAAGCAAGGCAGAAGGGCAGGATGGTGGAGTCAGTGGGGCACCAGCTCAGCACTTGAGACCCTGTTTTCTCACAGTCCTTGTGTGTGACCTCTTAGGACCCATGCACCTAACTCCCATTGATTTGGAAACAGAAGTTAGGCACCTTGGTACATCTGAAAATCCCACTGGGTGCGTGTCTGCTTCTTTATGAAGCAAAATTATTTTAAAAACCAAGCCTTTGGCCTCTTTGTGCCTCAGTGCCCCTTCAGTTACACAGGGTGCTGAGAAAAGAAGCCCTTTTTAAATGAAGGTGCCATGGTGCTGAAGACCATGAAAATACCTCAATGAGAGAATGACAGCACTTGAGAAATGAAATCAATTTTAAGCTTTTCCTAAACAGAGGTGCTGTTTGTTTCTCGACACCTGGCTGGAATGGTTACTGGGACTTGTATGGCTGAATTAGGTGGTGGTGTGCTGAACATAGAAACCCCAGAATTTCTTAGTAATGACTTAACTATTTTCCCAGGGTGCCCCATTGGCCAGTACGGACCAAACTGCCAGAAGACTTGTGAGTGTGAACATAAGTGCCCTTGTGACCAGGAGACTGGCAGCTGCAATATTACTTATCCGTCTACACTGCAGAACCAGTTATCCAGAGGTATGTTCAGCTCTGGCTTGGCCACCCTTCCTTCTGATATGTGGTACGTTACCTTTAGTCTGGCACGGATTTGATCCCGTAAACCAGTCCTTGTCTCACTTGCACAATTATTAACTCATTTGGCTCACGATCCAAGCTGCCACCCCTTCACTAAATACCCTTCTCTTCTTTTGGGGCAGGCTCATTTAGGGTGAGTCAACTTCTTACCAATTTAATCTCCTTCACCTGCCCTCTTGTCTTCCAGCCGGTCAGTGTCTGGCTTCCCAGATGTCAGTGGCAGAGAAATCCCTTCTCACAGAGTAAGTGTGGTGGTTTGCTTATATATAAATGTGAATGCACTTGTGGTACCTGTCCCCAGCCCATTGCACAATGCCCATGTTTGCTTCCTGTGGCATGACAGGGCAGGACAGCAATGGAGGGTGAAGATTTCCCTCTTTGGTACTTGCCTTGTGTGTGCACTTGCTGTCAGGGCTCAGCTGTCAGATTGGTCATAATAAAGCTTTGCAATGAAGTTGGCTCACAGTTTGCTATCTGGACAGAGCAGACCCCAAACTGAGAGCAGCAGACGTGGTTGGCTGTGAGCTAATGCTCCTAACTGCTCTGTGGAAGCGAGGGTCAAACCAACTATAAGCCAGTACTGTAGTCCTAGCTCTGATCTCCCAGACAGGAAGAAACCAGGCAGTCGCTGCCTGTTCACAAGCCTCAAGGTCTTTGAGCTTAGCTGTCATGTGCGCACATGGCAAGCAGCCTCAAACCCCAGGTAGATCTCTGTATTGAGATGACTTCCCAGTCCTGCCCAGTCAGACACACAACCACAGCTGGGCCTGTAAATAATATACTTGGAGGGGGAGTATCTAAGATGAAGCAATAACCCAACCTCAAGCTGTGAGCCTAGTTATAATAGCCTCTGTTATTGCAAAAAAAGAGCTGCTCGCTTCTAGTATGGCAGAAGCAGGACTCCCTATCCACGCCATTGGAATGCACTACAAAATTTAGTTAAAAGCTACATTAATCTGATTGTTGGCATTAGAGCACCAGGCAGTTAACTTCCTCCATGTCCAAATTCCAATTTCCCAGTTCAGAAGAGAATGAACAGAATATCTGCCAAATACTCCAGCTCTTTAAGCAGCTGCTTGAAGCTTGAGTAAAGAGATTGACTCTTTGGCTCCTTCCAAAGTGTCTATGTCAGCAGTGGATTAGCTGTGCTCAGCCTAGTTTTTGCCAGTTTGGCCCCTGCATTGTTGCACTTCCCTTTTAGCTCACAGGCTGCTTAACTGCAAGGAAGGATAGGGCTGTATAATTACAGGATTCAGTAGGGCTGCAGGATTGCACTGGTTTTGTATTACTGGTGAGGAGAGACAAGGCTGGCCTGACAGTAGCTGTTTAGCTATTGTCAGGCCAGCACAGTTAGTGCCTTTCATTCCCTAGCATTTCAGAGAGCTAAAAATAGCCATTCAGCTCTGGCTGCTGAGAGCAGGAGAAAACCTCTTCAAGTGCTCTCCGTTCCTCTGTCGCAAAAAATCTAACACCTTTGGTTTGCAGCAGACTTAAGTGCACCAATCATTTTAGAAAGGATAATGCTTTTCATTAACTGCAGCGTTTCGCTTTGATAACTTCCCCCTGCTGCCTTGAGATCTATTGCAGAGAGAGAGAGAGAGACTACAAAGACAACTGCTAAAAGACACGTGTGAAATGCTTTGCATATTACTGAAGTATTAGAGTTCTGTCTCTCTTCTTCCCTTTGGCAGGAGAACATGGATCTTTATCACCTCTGTCTTAGCTCTGCTTCTTGGGATCAGTGCTGTGGGATACCTGAGACTTGTTTTCAAATGCAGCTCAGAGAAGACACAAGAAAGTGGTGGCTATATGTACTATCCACTGAAGGAAATGAATGGAGAATCCAGTCACACATACACTCCTGCCTCTTGCGAGACATACAAGGAGGAAGACGCTCAGGATCAAAGCCAACCAGAAGCCATACCACTCCTTTAAAGTTACAGGCAGGAAAAGATTCCTGCTATTTGTCTGACAAATGGCACGGTCTCTCAGCATGAACAATGGTCTGAGGGCTACTTAAGCCTATAATCAAATGCCGACGAGATACTCAGGACAGCAAGAAGGGACAGGACGTGCTGCTCACAACCGTGTGAATACCTCAGGCAATGCCCTTCCTTCTTGCCTTTCCTGATCAGAAAGCTGGTAGCTCTCATTTTCTCCCACCTCCACCCTCAAGTCTCCTTGCTCACGACTGAGAAAAAGGAACGCAGCAGCAACTGCCACTTGATGGTGGAGATCAGAGAAATGCATTATAGTAACTGAGGGACACTGAGGCAGGCAGGTGATAAGCTGGACAGAGACTGTTCTTCTCTACCAAAACTTGTCTCCTTGCTGCTGCCCCTTCTCCATGCGATTGTATGGATTGCATATTGCACCAGAAGTGCCTGGCTGTTATAGGTTAGTTGAAAGCCTTTTTTTAAAAGTGGTTTTCTACAGGTCTGGCAACTGGCAGCAGGCTACTTCTGTCAGTCAAGCTGATGCTGATTTATTTAATAAGACACTGGTAAAAATGCTTTTAAAAAAGAAAGAAAAGTTGCTCTCAGTGCAATATGCAGTATAATCTAGCTGCTCTTCCCATTGGCGAGTTGTTGCACAGCCATGGGTTCAAGGCAAAAGTATGCTGCACCACGTACTCACCTCTGGCTTGGGAGGGAAGTGCTTTTTCTTTGCCAATGGTAGAAATTGTGTGATACCACTGTAGGGCTCTCTACATCTTCAAAAACAATGGATGAATTATGTTTACAACAGGATCTTACTAGATCCCAAACAAGACATACCTTTTGTGTCAATCCCAAGATCTAAAGCCAGCAGGGGATCATAACTCCTCTTCATTCTAAGTGTCTGCTATGTGTAGAGCCCAGTCTGCTCTGAGAATCTGAAGTGACCCCGTAGTTGTAGAACATCGTAGCCTGCTCACATGCTACACCAGGAGAAGTGAAGAATGTGTTGCTTAGAAGGAAAAGTGTCACGTCCCCATGCTGTAGTTGGAACAATTGCGTTAGATACCACTGTTACACAGAACTGTAGTGCAAACTGAGCCAGGCCCTGAACATGTGATTTCACTCCATTCTTCTGAAGTTCAACATCAGCCTTTACCTGTGACTGCAAAAAACTATGTTCCATTTCCTGAAAGAAGAAGTTTGCTAGCTAGCTGTGACTGAGGAGCACTAGATATGTCTTAAGCTGCAGATATCTCAGATGGAGATCAGTTATTTTAATGGAAAAGTGAGTTTAAGATGAGAGGGTTTGTTTAAAAAACCATGTAAAATTTGCTTCCTCTTGAGGAGAATAATTAGCCTTTAATGTGCCATTAATTGCTGCAAGATGGGGTTACAGTACATCAGAGCCTAAATATTCCAATTTTTTATGCACTTTGATGATTTTTATTGCAACTTCAAAGAAGCAAAGAACACAGAATTTTTGTGCTACACCTAAAGAGGTCAGTCTGAATTATTTTGCTATTTCTTACTTTCAGAAGGTGATTTAAGACTTGAATAAAACTTAATTCCTATGCGACTGTTTGAAACTTGAACTTTTAGTAAATAGGAATTTATTTCATGCAGAGAAAAAATGGTTCTTTTGCAGGTAACCCAGACTTTCATCCAACCTTCCTGCCCCACTGAGAATCTTTGGAAAGCCAGAAATGCTACAGGATCCTGTGATGTGCTCTGCCATTTTGGTGTGTATATTAGGCTTTCAACAACATGACTTCATGTAGATCCTGGGACAATGACAGCAGGATGCAGAGCCCACCTCCACCCTGTGCACAAATCTGGGGGGGGCACATGCCCCCCCAAGGGGTGCACACAGCAGCAGGAGCAGCCCCACCCCCCACTGCACCCCTGGACAAGCCAGCTGCAACTCTGTCCCATAACCCACCCCAGCCCAGGCGCTCCATTTCCCCCTGTCCCACTCCATCCCTTACTGTGGGGGCCTCAATCTACCCCACTCCCACCCCTTTAACTCCCACACTCTTACCTGATGGGTGGTGTTTGTGCTTGCATCTGTATGTATGTCTGTCTGCCCTTTACTCCCAAGCCACAATACCCCACATCCTTCCAGGATATGCAGGAACCCCCCTCCCCAGGCTCCAGCCCCCTCCCCACCCCACCACACACACACCCACAGCCCCCCACACCTTCACAAATTCCACCCCCTCCAACCTAACAAAATACCTGCATAATTTTGCATAACTTTAAGGTTTTCTGCACATAATTTTGAGTTTTTACCTGTGTGATTAAAGTCACAATTAATTGGGACTAATTTTTTTAATTGTGCAACTAATCATGACCAAATTTTTTAATGGTTTGACAGCCCTAATATATATATTAGGGCTGCCACTTCTGTGACACTATAGAAATATCTAGTTTTAGCTCAGCTGCTAGTAGTCAGTTTAATAAAATGGTAAGATTAAACTCTACTCACTTCAGATCGTAAGAACATCAGATGATTAAGTTTCCTGACAGCATAACCACAGCGCTTAGCTAAAACAAACAAACCAGCAAGTTCTTTTGAGATGGCTTTATTTGAAAGTTACAGAAATATGGAGAGCAGAAATGTACAGCTTGTAACTCCAGTTTACAATTTCCATAACTAAATGTACCTTTAGCATCGGATTTCCTGCCCAGTAACCTGTCATAAAGCACCATGCATTTTATTAGTGTGCTCTGAGGTCCCAAAACAAGATTTTTCTCCTTGACAAAAATTTAACCTTTTATTAAAAAAAAAAAAGTAAAGAAGGTTCCCAGGTGAGTGGGAAAGGTAGTACCTTTGTTTGCTAACTAATAATGCCCATTTACTCTCTCCAGACAAACTGTGAAAGTAAATGTTACAAAGCCGTTCAAGCAGATTCACTGTCATGACACCACTTCGGCCTGTGTCAGTGCTGACAGTTAACCTGCTCTATGGACGGTTATAAGAACTTTCACAAATTCATTCTGGGAGAACAAAACCAGCAGCAGCAGCACTCTTCAGATAGTCTTTCAGTTTTAAACATTGAAGAGAGTTTAATATCTACATTTTTTGCAATTAATCGCTCCCAGCTTAGAAACTGTTAGCACAAGGACTCGGAGGAAATTAAATGCTTTTTTTTGAAAGAAGGGACCGCTGTGACCTTCCTGCTGCAGGTACGTCAACACATGGTGAGAACATAGCACCTGAGTTTAGTAGACAGGACAAGCAGGCTCAGGCCCATTTCCCACCTACCACTTTTAAATGCAATGAAGATGACCAGTTTAAAATTACTTTGCAGGTTGGCAGCAAAGTCATATATGTGAGCAAGTCCACATGACAGGACATGACCAGCCCTTCTTAAAACAAATGGCCACTGATTAAAATTGACACCTGTGCTTTTAAGTGCAACAGAAAAGCTGTTCAAATGATGTAAGTCCATTAGCTTCATCCAGTCTAGTACCATCACCCTGTTCAAGTGATCGGAAGAGATCAAGTTAACAGAAAACAAAACATGCCCTGCCCTATCTTCAGAGGCTAATACTGGCTTAATCCTCTTATATGCTGTCTGTGTCCCAATTTGGCCAGAAGAGTCCTGGATTTTGCAGGCTGTCCTGGTATCTTGGCCAGTTGGCAAAAATAGAAACAGAAGTCCCAGAATTGTCCAGCTAACATCATCTCGTCTTTCTCTACCAACTCTGCTGCACACGAGTGTGCGGCAGCAGAGCTCATCTTAGGGAAAGTGGTGTCCCCCCAACGATTTCCCCATGTCAGCAGTGCTGCCACAGGCAGAGGCAGGTGGACAGGGGCATGGGGCACAGTCCAGCAGGTGCACCAGGCAGGTGGGCAAGCACCACTGCTGCTGTGCAGGAGCAAGGTGGGTGGACTGGAGCAGGTGTCACGCCACCTGCATGTGCTTGGCCCACCTGCTGAGCAATGGCTGGAGGCAGGGGCTGGCTGGGCACTGCTCTGTTCCACCTGTCTTGCTTTCACACAGCAGCAGCAGTGTCTGCCCATCCACCTAACTGGCATACCATGCTGCTCCACCTTCACTTGAAACAGTGTCCCGGATTTCCTTACAAATATGGTCACCATACTACACCCATCAACATGCAGTCCAGTAGAACCTAAGGAACTTCAAATTCCAGGTTAGCAAGAGCAACAGACATGGTTTGCTCTGCTGTAGAGAGTGTGAAAGGAAAAGGACTGACAGATCACAAAGAAATTATTTTCACTGTATTCCTTTTGGTGGCTTCCTTAGGTCCTTCACAAGAGAGCTGAGCAATGATTGAGGGAGGGAGTGGGAATGGGAAAGCTGACATACAGGACACTATCCTGTTGCTTCCAGAGTGAAAACTTCTTTAAACAGAGGAACAAAATCTCCAAGGCATTTTAAAGGGAAAGAGGCCTGAAATGTTATATGAAAGGTCTGGGTTCAGACTGGTCGGTAAGGGAGAACTCAATTACAAAATACTTATAAACCATTTACCCACTACATATTGTCAAATCAGTGTTGGTCCTACATTCATTTTTCCTGGAATTAACAGGCCAAAAGGTCAAACATTTCCAGAAATTACTCTGAAACAGAGAAGCAGCTTGACAAATCCTTTCCCTCCAGGGCTTGGTCTTGATATTGTGTGGCTGCATATTTGAGCTACCAATTTTACAGAGCTGCCCAAGGTCCATTAGTTTATTTCCAGCTCCAACCCCAAGTGAGGCTTGCTATTGGTTCTGGGGCCTTAGCCATTATTTAAACAATCCCTGGGTGGTGAGAAATTCCAAAATTTCATGAACCTTAGAATGAATGGTAGGCAGAAAATTCTTCCTGTAGTTACCTAACTAGGGAGTAGATGCAGCACGTGTGGTCTGAAGCAACACACATAATGAATGGTTCAAGCTAACATGCCAGAGTTTGAAAATTATTCAGTGAACACTAATAAGACAAAAGAGATCTGAATCTCTGAATTTTCCCAGGCAAACCATGCACTGTATTTCCCTGCATGTCATATGCCCCCAAATGCACTGTGTTTGGGGAAGGCAAAATGAAGGGGAGATGATTTTGGCAGAGCCGGGGCTGAATTCTGACTGCAGGGGATCCCAACTACACAGCTGAACCCTGCCTGGCACTGCATTGGCAACAGTGACAGTGTTAACCCTCTCAACTCCTGGCTGCTCAGCCAAAAACTAATGCCAATTCCACAGCAGCTATCAAAGTGTTAACAGCGTAGCTTTTACTTGGGCATTTCATTCCTCCTCCATTCCAGCACAGAAAATTAGCTTCCCCACTTAAGATACACAACCCAATTTTCGGAAGGCTGATTTTTTTTAGGGAAAGGTACCGAGGTATGCAAGTTCTTAGGGTAATAGTGCAAACAGGCCTGCTCTTTCCACAATACTGATATTGAGAAATGCATAGAAAGGATAAATAAGGAAAGGGCATTTACTCTTAAGTCTGTCCCTGATGCAGAGACTACAACAGTGCTTTATTGTATGCCCCAGAAAACACATTTCAGTTCTCTTGATACATGGACTGGAAGAATCTACGAATGCTGCTTCACTGCTCTGCCAGTCACAGCCAGTTGGACTGAAATCCCTCTCAGTCTGTTTACAGAGCTAATAATGCTGCTCTTCCTAATATATATAAAAAGCCAAATCTGGTGTATCCTAAACTAGGACACGTTTTCAGAAATGGACATGACTACTTATGACCAGATATTCCCCCTCCTCCCCCCATTATAGCCAGAATAATACTGTTCTCGCCCTACATGGCATTTTTCCTTTCAGGCTCTCAGAACCCTTTATAAAACAGTACATCTCACAACAGCTCTCTGAGGTAGGTATTAGACACATTTTACAAATGGACTAGCTGAAATAAGAAGTTAAGGTCCAAACTTACATCTACTGACCTTATCCAAGTGCCCAACTGTTTACCCAAGCCTGATTTCCCTCAGGACTGATGAGTAGTGAGACCTTCATTGATCTCAGGTACTTAAGGTGCTCAGCACTATCAAAACTTGGTCCCCCAAAGCAGCAATAGATGGTCACCCAAAACTGGAGTCCACTTTGGAAGTTTCTGACCTAAAGGATCTACAGGGAGCGGTGGGGACCTAGGAACAAAGGTCAGAACATTTCTCTTTCAACTTCACGCTCCAGTCAAAACATGCTGTGAAATATAAAACCATGCACCTTATTTTCCAACATGGGTAATGTCTTTTTTTTTAAATGTAAGTTAAAGTTAAAAGAGTTTTACTTTGTTCCACATCTACAATTCATACAGCAGAGTTTAAACAGTGCAGCATCAGACATGATCATCAGTGAACAGAAGGCTGACTTCTGGATATCTTACATTTCTCTTTCCCGCCATGTGGAGGAGGCAGCAGCAGCCAACGTGCCACAGATCAGACCCTTCGGCTCCTATTTCTCAGGAGAGAATTCAAATGTGCACAAATTTACTAGATCCTGTAGGCTCATCAATCAAAAATTAAGAGATATAGAACTTTTAACCAGCTAGAGAAGGGCAGGCCACACCGTTCCCCTGTGAAGTGGAAAAGATTCTTAACAGGACAGAGTAAACTGCAATACACAGGATAATAATAGGATAAACTGAATAAATAGGATGATGAACCGTTTTAGAAAGAGGATTGTAATTTATGCAACTCTGATCAACACTCCTATTTGATTTCCAGTGGTTTCCCACATCAAAGCCAAGATTTTCTGTCCTTAGCATCGACCTGGTTAACTAGTACCATTAAAATTGTAGCTCCCAGAGGTGCAAATTCCTCACTGATTGACAGTGACAAGCATCAAAAACTACCTGGGAAATTCCCCCCAGTATGTTTTCTTATTTAGAAGGGGTTACACCTTCCTGGGATGGGAAGGGGATTACTGGTTTCCTTTACCAGTTAAATCAACCCAAATGGTACTTGGATTCATTGTAAAAAAAAAGTTATAGCTAAGACCTTCAAGAAGGCCTACAGGGAAGGTAAGTGCCCAAACTCCTGTTGAAAAATGCCTGTTGGTACTCAACTTCCTATGTTAGGTTTCTTTAAAAATACAGTCTACATAAATGCAGTTGATTTTTCATTTACCATGATTCAGTTATCAATCAAAGTTGTTTTTACTTTTTGCTTAGAAACCAGTAGACAGAGGGAAGAGAAAATAGATGCAGAGAACCATCAGGGATCTAGTTTCTGCCTCCATCCATCCCATCTCTCCTAACCTGGTCTGGCAGGTTGAGGGGGAAAGTGAACTCCTGCCTCAAGAATACTTTGTGTATGTCTATTAGTTTTAAATATCACCCAGCAGGAGCTTGGTGTTTGACAGTGCTTTTTCTAATTTCTTATTATCCGAGGAAAGAACATAGGTACACTTTTGTTACTTAATTTCTCTGACATGAGTTATAAAGGTATTACCCTTTGTGATGCATCCATTTGGTGGCGTCATCTGCAGGGATCATCTGTGAATGATACTTTCAACATATCTTTAAGAGGCATTTTCCCCTTACAAGTTTTGTCCCTGCTCACATCTCCCTCTCCCAATGGCAGAAGAGACGACATCACTCACCGTCAGCTACATGTACAATCAAGACAACACTATACATCAAGATGCCCAGCAATCACAGAGGTTAGAAATGGAGTAAGAGCTGTAGGATTGAAGATGATCAGTAGTTCTCTTTTTAAGCAAAAAACCCCAAAACCCTGAAGTTCAGCTCATTAAAAAGGCAATTAATTAGGTTAAATAAATAAATAAATACATACATACATAAATGCCTTACTGAAATTATAAATAAGTTAAAAATGTTTAAAGTGACTATAATTTGAATAAATATGTGTTTAAATATGCACACGCACTTTACAAAAGAGTTCCTCTCTTCTCCAGGTTAGCCCATGGTTTTGAGAAGCAACCCCTGTGGTGCTGCTCTAAAACTTTGTGCCTTTACAAAATAAAATATTGCTTTTCTTAGCCCTTTTAGTGTGACTCACTTCCCTCCCACTGTGCGGGATGGTCAGAGATCTACTCATTATTGCTTTTAAACCTGAGGAAAGAGAAAATAGACAGTGTCTATCTTTAAAGAAGTTGCCTGCTAGAAAAGCAGGTTCTCCGCTTGGGCTTTTCAGGAAACTGTATCAATTTTAGGGTCTTACTGTATTTTTAAAAAAGGTATCTCCTAGCAACATCTCCATAATCATCCAACTCCATTGGGAGAGGTCTCAGGTTTGGATTAGCTTGGAGGTGGTCCCCAAAACATACCGCCCTGTATTAAGATATTTACAGCTTGTTTCCAATCCCTGTTCCTCCAGTACCCACCATACCTGGTCATGTGTAACAGTACAGTAGGCACCCAGAAAAACTAGACTAGTTTTGCTACACATGACTCATCTAGTCTACGGTCATAACAGATAAGGCAATATCAGTCTCCTCTACCTTGGGTAGAAATAGGACTGATTGGAAAGAGCCCTTGAAATCTCAGAAATACACAGATTCATGCAAACTGATAATCACCCCAAAACAGAGTTGTTAAACTAAAATTGATAAACAGGCATCCGTTATGGAATTCAGTTTCCAGATTTAAAAGTCAGTCTCTTACTGACAAAAGGTTTCAAACAGCTCTCAGAAACTTCTCTGTGACCTGCAGCCACTTGTGGTCTTGTGAATGACTATTCAAAAGCCTTGGCCACTTACAGGTTCTTTGGTCAACAGACCAGCTCTTGAGGAGTCAAACTAATCCAAGCATCAAGTCTCAGCAATCTGCAGAGGCAGAGGATGTGCTATCTGGACACGTGGGAACTACTCTGAGATTGGTTGGAAGATGTCGTAGCTCCACTGAGCTGGGAGAAGCCACTGTTGCAAGACTCCAGGCTTGACATGGATCCCCTGGGACAAAAAAAAAAAATGGACATTTTGTTACACGCTTGCACTACTGATGCTTGAATATATCTGAGATTGGAAACAGTTCATTCCTGGAAGGGGGCAGAAAGTGATTTTTCTTTAGTTTGTCCCCAGCTTCATCTTCCCATATACCAAGTGGTCCACACTCCTATATGTCATAAGGAAGAATTTAAATGTCACAGCCATGGATACTGGGACCCTTTCATTCAATACAGAACTTACAACTTACATCTCAAACACACTCATGAAGACACGTTCTAGTGAGAGCTACTAGAGGCAGCATGTGGAGCAGAGGTTAATCAGAGATCTCAGAAGATGGCATGGCCCATTACATGTTAACCAACAAGCTCACAGTCTACCAATATGAGGGTAAGTCTTCTTCCTCCCTGAGTGTCTAACAGTGGAACCAACTCTTTTTTTCCTGGTACTGAGGCCACATTGAGCTATTGTAGACACTTTCCCCTTTTCCTTAAGACATTTCAAAGAGTCACAGAATTGGGGAATGCACTTGAATTATTAAAGCAAGAAATTCTGGATTCTTTGCTGCCACCCCAGCTCAGTAGTACTTGGACAAATCACATCATTACTTCTGTCTCCACTGCCCTCATCCATAAATTTAGACACATTCTCCCTCTCTCCTGGTAGTTTCTTTTGTAGCATGTCCCAGATAAGTGTCCCTTCTCTTCCCCCTTCCTTTTCAAAAATCAAGGTGTACATCTGTGCTGCATGTGTTGTTGGTGGTACATACATTCAACCAGCTGGCAGCCTCTGTCACATGACTACTACCCCTCTCCAGCATCAGGCATAAAGCTTGGCTGCTTTGTCTAGTACCTTGCAACATTTGTGATATGAAGTTAATCTTAGACACTGCTTTCCAAAGAATACATTTAACTCCCCTTCAAGTCCCATAGAGTAACTACTGGCATTTATGATAGTGCAGTGAGGACAATGAATAACATCTCCTGTGGACATTGAGCCAAACTATAACCCTTAAAAAAGGAGAACTTTAATTTCCACCCAGACCAAGTAGTAGCGTTTACAGTAGTGCTAACTGCTGCTAACTACAAAGGGAAGTCTCTCCTAGGGAGAAGTTCATCAGGGAAAAAAAAAACAGTAAACTGGAATCCATTTAATATATTTTCAACAAAATATAAGTTGCAGACATTTTAAAGGTTATGTATGTCAGGACTGGCAGTCATATTTAGCTCTGCTGGACATGTTCTTTATTGCAAGCCAGACACAGCAAATCCCTCTTAATGCGACTCCTACCTGAAATCCTTGGATGCAAGCACTTCATAGTAGTACATGAGTTTACACTTGTGATTGGAAACTTGCAGAGAGGCCAGAACATCATCGACACGAGGAAGGCTGGTGCCAGTACAGGGCAAAGGGCCATGCATTTTCCATTGGAGAATGTAAAAGCCAGGCCAGCGGGTCACATGAGATCCCTGGAAGAGATTGATAAAGAGCATCATCAAGTGGCCATCATGCATCTGAATAATAATCAGAGCTTTGGTTGGTGGGGAGGAGAAAGTTTGCTTGGTTGGGATGGGAGAGAGTTGATTAAGAGTCTTTGTTCATATTTTCAAAACTAAAGTCAAAACAAAAAGGCCCATGCCATCAAACTCCAGTGTCAAGTTGTGGTACATCTCTCGCACATCACAGACCTAATCCAAGCCTAGTGGGATCGGTGGAAAGACTCCCCTTCATTTTACTGGGCTTTGGACCGTGACTTATGTTACCAGTTTTCAGTGGCTCTAATCATTCCAGAGCATGCTGAAGGGAATGAGTTTAAACTAGAGGTTACAATACTATTGGATACATGCACAGGATCTAATCTTATGCATATAGCTTTCACCAATGCCTCTTTTCTCCTGCAGTGGAGAATTTCTTATCCATTAATGTTTTTAACATGAGATTTAGGGTGTGCTAAGGTTTCCAAGAAAATGCTATGAAGCTCTGCCCTTGTTCAACCTCTACATCTATTCTGCTGCCCCCTTTAGACGTCACACCAGCTCACTGTGGCTGTTTAGACACCAAGAAGTGGAGGCATGTCCTACCTGGATGCTCTCTCCTTCCCGACAAACCAGCGGAGATTCCATACGGCTGTAATCCACCCCCAGAACCCAAGACTTATCAATCAGCTGCACATTGTCCCCAGCAGCTGAAGTACTTGGTAAGGTAGTTTCTTTGCGATAGGTCTGGGGCACTCTCTTGGAGTGGAAGAGACTGAACACCACATCTCCCTTCAAGATGTCAAAGTCCCAGGTGATCACAGATTCACCCTCCAAGATTTCCACAACTATCTAAACAAGAAGCAGCACAAATAAGTGGTATAAGCTCAACTTCAATCAGAAGCCAACATCCTCCCCACTTTCCCTTGTAGATGCAATTACTGGCACAAATCTTAGATCTCCCAAGACAGACATAAGCTAATCTCAGTTTCCATCTGTTAGGGTAGCTTGTCACAGTTAGCTTTAGTTGCACCTGCTTGAGTGGTGAATTATAGTATTATTTGAACTTTTCTTTTATATTCAGCCTCATTTAACCATTGCTTCAGCTTTTATATAGCTTCATTATTATTTGAACTTTTCTTTTGCTTGTGTCTGCACTATCAGCTAGCCTTGAGTTTGCTTTCACAGGCAGCTTATATTTCAGCGTTATCACCGTAAGTGCGCATAGTGTGAGCCTTGTTACTAGCTCAAATATAATGAACTTGGCACTAACCGACTAAATCAGAGAGATAGCATGATTGGATATATTAATGAAAGATGATGAGAGGGGACCAATTGGACAGTGCCCAACAGCAGATCCCTTGGAATTTCTGGTTTTGACGGACAGACTAAATTAGGAGTCTGGATAACTGAGACACTGGTAAGAGACCAAATTAAAAGGCATGCATGAGATGGGTTTATTGGAACGAAGGAATATACTGACAGGATAAAAACATGAACACAGGGAAGCCAGGGATGATTGCAGGGAAGCCAATCAACAGTACCCAGAAATGATGAGTCATCAGTGGAGTAAAATTAAAGAAAAAGCATAAAAAGGGGACAACAAGGAAGTTAGATGTGTTTCATCATTCAGCAACATCTGAACTGAAAACAGCCAGTTTCCACAGATAAGCACCCTCTACTTTCAGAGAATTGATTGGCCACCTTTTCTGTGAAGTGGAGTAACATCTGGGATTGGGTGAGACCAGTGAATTCAGTATCTCTCTCTAGGTACAAACTATTAATACATTTCATGTGTTAATAAAGTTAGATTTTAGTTTATCGAATGATGGGAGGCATGTTCTGTGTTCACTCTGGGTTGATTATGCTTTAATGATCCTTTAGCACCAGGGAATCTACTCATCCACATTTATCCCAACTCTCTCATGTCAGAAGTGTCCAAGTCTTTCTTGCTAGATCCTATAGCAGATCTAATAAGTATAACTGCAGCAAAAGTGGAGGACTGCTTTAGAGCAGCTGTCTGAGAGGTAAAATGTGTCCCACAGTCCACCTGTTTTATGGGAACTCAGGCAAGTTGAGTCATAGCAATTCATGATCAGAAGCTAGAAACTGGCAAATTGCTCCTCTCTCCAATATTCACCTTTCTGACTGTATAGGTGTCAGGGGTATTCCCAGCCCTCTCTCTCTGTCTCTCTCTCTCAATGTCACCCTTGCTATCCTAGAGGCAACATGGATAACAGAAGCCAGGGTATCAGTGTGATAGCTGATGACATCTGGTTTCCCAGAAAAGGAAGAGCAGGCTGCAGTGTAGACAGGGAAAAAGGTGATATTAGTGATTTCAGTGCTTCTAAATCCCAAATGGCTGTTCTTCGCTTCTTTAGAACCTTGACATGCTAGTGACGTGACCCAGGGCATGCTCAGAAGAGACCTGTCCTTCCAGAACATAACTAGGACCTCCAGGGCTAGCTAACTAGAGCAGAACAATGCCAATTTGTATCCATCAGACCCTGGGAATCACCTCCCTGTTCTCCTCCCTTCCTCAGCATTGCACACTGAGGGCTTGTACCTCATGGGGAGCTCCTTTGAGAACACATGCAGAGTGATAGATGGTTTCTGTCCACAACCGGATGTGATCAGAGTTCTCTGGTTCTTCATCTGTTTGATAAAGTGACTTGGGGACGAGCCCACCTTCAGGGACATTACACTGCAAGAAATGAGAGAGAAAAACCTTTATAACAGGAACTTCTACTACACTGGCAGTTAGGGAAGTACCTAGTTACTGGCAAAGCATGCCCAAATGCCCAATTGCTCAGTATGAAACACTGGTGCAAAATGTAGAGAATAGCTGCTGTACAACGCCATAACTCCATTGAGTTCACCTCACAGTATACCAAGAATGCCCTTGACCTAACCTGCACTGATATCTTTAGAACTGTCCTTTGACAACTGAAGCAATGGAGTCATATTTTGACACTATACAATTGGGTGGGACTTGATTACCAACGCCTAGGAGATCTAGGAGACAATGAAATAACCCCTCGTCTCCCCAAAAAGAAAGAAGAAGAAAGTTAATGAGCCCTCTCCTTATTAAGAAGATAAAGACAAAGTCCTGGGTCACCCAAAGGGAGCTCCAGCAAATCTTAACTAGGAGCTCTTGTTGCCCAGGGGCTAAAAGCTGTTCTCCCTTATATCCATGCAACTGCCAGGATCACAGAGTTATAAGCAGGGATCCGGGTTTTCTGTTTACTGCAAAAGAATGCAGGAAAACATGGGTTTTCTCCTTTGAAGAAGAAAAACATGGGAACATGGGAAACGGCAGGTTTCTCCTTGCAGGATGACAGAGTTCCAGTCTGCAAGGGGCAGCTGGGAGGTGGGGGAAGTGGGACGCCATGTGCATGTGCCCACACCCCACTTCCCCACACACCCACCCCATTCCCTACACACTGAGGGGTAGGGGGCTGTGGGCCAGGAGTGCGGGGCACTGGCAGGGTCAGAAGTGAGGGGCACCAGCAGGGCTGGGGGGGCTTGGGCTTAGGAGTGAAAGGCAACAGCATATCAGGGCTGCTCAGCGCCACAAAGCAGTGGTGAGGGCAGCCACAGCTGGACCTGCATCCTGGTGAGCAAAGGGGGCAGAGGGTGCTCTGATTGTCCATGATAAAAAAAACAAAAACGCCAAAATATATAGGTATTTATAATTTATTTTATTCTGATGATTAAGGCACTGATAGGCTTCCAAATTGCTTTA